CAGTCCATGGAAGATGAAACTAAAGCTCTGATTGAAGCCCTGCCTTGCACACAGCAAGATTTGCTGTGCCCAGTGGAGATGTGGAGTACAAAAAATGCTGTGAAAAATCAAATTCCAGCCGGAGGAAGCAGGTGAAGGAGCTTCCCTGCTCTCCCCACCCAACAGCAGATCCCAGCCAGCACAGCGTGGGGCTGACCCCAACCCTGCTTGGGACTGGCTGAGCCAGGGCAGGAGAGTCCCAACTCCCAGCTGGACCTGCTGGGTCCCTGCCAGGCTTTGGGGATGGAGGAGAATGTGTCCGTCCTTCCACTGCCTGGACAGAAAGAGGAAACAAGTGTGGAAAAGTACAACAGGTTTGCTCACAGCCCTGCAGCCCAGGTAAGGGGAAAAGTGGCAAAAACTGCATGGATGTGGAGGAGGTGGAGGAACAGCAGTGCTGGCCGAGTGACCCAGTTAATCCCAGTGCAGGACTGGGAGCAGGGCAATGAGAGGGCAGGGAACGTTCCCACATCCCAAAAGCCATAATATGGCTCCAGACAATGGGAAGCAGCAAGACGAACACAAAACCATCCAGGCAGCAGTTTGGCTTAAAAGAATTTATTTCAGACAAAAAAACTCCCCACCAAAAAGTCGTACAAAAAGAGTAGAGACAAAGAGTGGTCATTACAAAAGTGTTCACAGATAGAAAAGACTCATCTGAGCAACCCCAGCGTGGAGCCCAAGGCACGCTGGCTTCGGATGTGCACGGCCGAGGATTGGCTCAGTGAGGGAATGCAAAGGTCCTCGGCCCCCAAATTCTGCTCAGGTTTCCCTGAGCCAGCAGGGTCAGCCCGTGGCACCCACACACCTGAGGGGTCCTCAGCACAACACCCAGCTCGCCCTGCCCAGGCTGCTGTGGGTCCTCACCCCACCAGGGCCCCCAACCCCTCTGTGGGCACAGGATCAAGCCCATCCTGAGCAAAACTCCCAGCCCTGGAGGATTCACCCCAAATCAACATCTCCCAGAAGCCCTGGGATTGGGGCTTTCTTCTCTCTTCCTTGGCCACCAGCCACAGCTCCAAGCCCCCGTGGTGGTAGCAGTTTGGGGCTGGTTTCAGCCCCATCACGGGGGAGGCACTGGCACACTGTGCAGGTTTGACACTGACACTCAGGAATTGCCTTTCCTGTTCTTGATAAATGGCACCAAAACGCCGCCACACACCACAAATTCATCCCCCAGGACCTCATGAGCAGCCCTTAGAGGCCTTTAGAGTTTGTTTAAGCAGCTCAAACCATTCCCCCCGCAGGCACCCGAGGGTTTGTGGCAAAGATTATCAGCAGTGGCTGAGGCCTCTGCTTCATCCAGCCAGAAAAGGAGCTTTCACTGCCTCGAGGAGCCGCAGTCCTGGTGAGCCACAGGCCAAGGGCTGTGCCTGCATCGCCCCAGGGCCCAACCCTGAGCAACAGCAAAACATTCTCCAGCAATCCTGAGAAACGCCTTCCAGCTCCTGTTTTCCACACCAGGAGCCGACAGAAGTGTTTGGGAGCACAGCACCGCAGGCAAGGGGAGAGCAATCTCAGCTCGTAATCCCTGTTCTACCCCCAAAACACCGGGGCAGCTCAGACCCCTCTGTGTCCTGCCCAGCTGTCCATGGGGGCCATCTGCCCTGCCACCCCTCGTGTCCCCCTGCCCTGCCCTGGCACCGTGCCCGCTCTGGGCCCGTGGACAGTCACAACAGGAGTGGCCGAGGGCGGTGAGCGGGGTGTCACATCCCCGTTTCCAGCCCCAAGTGCTGTGAGGGTGCAAGCTTCCATCCCTTCCATCCCCAGGGATCGTCACGCTGCCCAACGCAGCCCCTGTGCTCCTCTCAGCAGGTCATGCAGCGTGGCCGGATGCCGTCCAATGTGGGGTTCGGATCCACCTGCAAAGCCAAGCTCAGAGTCACAAACCCCAGAAGTGGGCACATCCCAGCCATGTCCAGCACGTCCCAGTCACGTCCCAGTGACCTCCAGCACATCTCAGCCACGTCCCAGCCACCTCCAGCACATCCCAGTCACGTCCAGCAAGTCCCAGCCAAGTCCCAGTGACCTCCAGCACATCCCAGCCATGTCCCAGCCACCTCCAGCACAGTCCTAGCCATGTCCCAGCCACCTCCAGCAGCCTCCCAGCCCGGTTCAGGTACCTCTGAATACAGTGGAGGTGGTCGGAAGCGGAATTCCTGGATGTAGGCAAAGAAGGGACCCTCCAGGATGTCCCCGAGCTCGCTGCGGCACGGTGGAGCCAGGCTCTGCTCAGCCTCGGGGCTGGACACAACTGCTGAGTACTCAGGGGGGGCTGAAGAGAGAGGAGAGCCATCAGGAGACAGAGAACCCTCTCCATAAATGGAGGATGCACAGGTGAAAAGACTTCAAACCCACTTTCCCGAGGTTTGGAACTCAGGAGATTCAGCAGCACAACCAAAATATTAAGTTGAAAAAAAAGCAAAACTGGTTCAGCTGAGAACTTTGAGCCTTGCTGTCCTGACCAGGGGGGTTATTCCAGGGAAAAGGGGATGCTCACCCTCTGGCTGCTCCGGGATGGGGCTCAGCCAGTCCAGGTTGACGCTGTACTGGCTGCTGACACTGGAGGTGCGGCTCCCAAAGGGATGCAGAGGGATGGTCCCGATGACAAGAGGCAGCTCAAGGAGCAGCTTGGACGTCCCAGGAATATCCACACAAACCTGCAGAGACAGGATGCAGCAGGGAAGCTCAGCTGGTGCTGTTTTCCCAGTCTGGAGGGGCAGGCACCTCCCCTGAGCTGGCCAGGAGGGAATTTTATCCCCGGGAGCTCCCTCACCTTCAGGGAGTATTCCACCTGGATGATGCGGCACTGGAGGATGGATGGCCCCACGGGCGGGATCTTCAGCGCCCGCCCGTGCCACACCTCCCTCTTCCCGGCTGGAATGGCATCCCCAGTGATGCTGGTCACCACCGACTTCTTCTGCTTCTTGGTGCCCCTGGCCACGAAGGTCTGGGTCTGGATTATGGCTGCCTTGGGCACCACGGCGCGGCTCGTGCAGTTGTCGATCTCAGCGAAGATAGGGATGACCTCACCTGCCCAACCAGACACACACGAGTTGGGAGGAGGGGAGGCAGAGCCCAGCCCTGCCTCAAGGGATTCCTGCCCAGGACCACCGAGGGTTGGCCACAGTGGGTTCATCCAGGAGGAGCGTCCCAAGGGCGCTGCCCACATTAAACACACGCACCAAAGCTCTCTGATTTCACAGCAGCTCACAGTGACCCCAAAATCCCCTCCTCTGGGCTGTGCCCCAGGGCCCACCAAGGTTCACAGGCACCAGCACCCAGGCTCACCTGGGGTGTAGCCTTTTCGGTCGATCTTGGCAGTCACAGACACCTGGCCACGGTTGCAGTACCACGCACGAGCAAGTTTCTCCTTAGCGCCTGCCTGGGGAGCCTGGAGAAAGGGAAATATTTCAGCTGTTTAGTAACCGGGGATGAAACTCAGAGCAATCATCTCCCTGGCACCAAGAACCTGCCGGGGAGCATCAGCAACTTCTCAGGTATCTGATGCAAGAAGTTGTTGCAATGCATTAAAGTTTCCAAAAACAACGAGGCACAGCTGACCTCTGCCCAGCCTGGGGAATGCCGGAGGGCACGAGGCGATGGGGGAAAATATTCCCTCTGGAAACCAGGCCTGCTCTGTAATGCTGAAGGGGAGGCAGACACCTTCCCCAGGGGCTTCCCAGCTAAATTTTGGATGCCAGAGCCCCGGGGTGGAGCAAGGGGAGCTCACCAGCAGTGCAGGGGTGTTTATGTCGATGGGTTCGATCACAGTGAACTCCTTCTTTGCTTTCTTCACTGTGGACCATGGTCTGTGCAGCTTGGCCTTCACCCAGTAGCGAACACTGCCGTGCTTCCCCTCGAAGGAAGTGGCCAAGGTCCTGGGCATGAGCAACAAACCATTTTTAGAAAGGTTTTGCTCAAAAAAAACCACCTCATTTTAAGATGCCCTCCCCGCCCCCCAAAAAAGCCAACTTACTCGGGGAGCTGGAAGGTGAAGGGGAACTCGTGCCTTCCTGCCTGCAGGACAGTGGCTTCACCGTTGTCTGTGGGCAAAACAGATTGAGGAGGATCAGCTCCCTCCCGCAGAACTTCCTGCCGGGCCGAGCCGCAGGGATGTGCAGCACCAGGGCACGGCAGAGCTCCTGCCAGGGCTGAGCTGCAGCAGCTGTGACACCAGAGCTGGGCACTGTCTGCATTCCGAGTGTCTCCAGACACGCACGACCCGGGGGCAGCTCCCTGGAGAGCCGGGCAGCTCTGCCAGGTGGGCTCTGCTTCATCCTCTGCTCCACAGCTTTGGACTGAGAGCCCAAGATGCCCACTGGACAGAGAGTGGCCAGCCAAGCCCCCACAGCCCTCGAGAGTTGGCACCTCTGGGGATCATTGAGGCCAAACCCCCTGCTCAAAACAAGCTCCTGAACCTCCAGTTTTCCAACACTGCTTCCCTGCCAGGAAAAGCTCACAGGAAAGGGGAGTCTTGTGGGGAGCAGCCCCTAACCGGGGTGCCCTGCACAGCAGCAGAGTCCAGCTGTGCACCCCAAGATTTCGGGGTGCACCCAGAGTCTGAGGTGTCTGCAGAGATCTGCACACCCGCCTCCAGAGCACCCCGACCCTAAGGCACCCAGATTTCAGCTGACTGATTTCATGCACCCAGAAGCCAGGCTGTCGCTGGCACACAGATTTCTGCAGTTTTGGGGTGCCATGCACCCAGCACCGACAATTGCCCCAGGCACCCAGATTTCAGCCAGTTTGGGGTGTCCAGACCGCCCCACTCCCCCGCTGTTTCAGCCCCTGCAGTGTCCGGTGCCCCCCACGCCCCCTCTCTCGCCGCCGGCCGTGGGGCGCGCACCCCTGGGTGGGGGATGCCGTACCTGGGGGTACCATCAGCGTGTCGCGGTGGTTCAAAAACTCCACCTGGTCGCTGTAGCTCTGCGTGTAGGCGGTGCTGGAGCCGGCGCTGCGGGACTCGGTCCAGTGGACGCGGGCAGCGCCCATCGCCCGCAGCCGCAGCGCCCCGAGCCGCGCCGCCGCCGCCAGCTCCAGCACCACGCGGCCCGACACCGCCTGCCCGGGGCTGAAAGCGGCCGGACCATCCCGCTCCGCGCCCTCCAGCACGATCGAGAAGCGTTTGAGGCGATCGAAAATCATGGCGCAGCCCAGCCCCGACCGGCGCGATGCGGCTCAGCCCGGCCCGGCGCGGCTCAGCCCGGCTTTAAGCGCCCGGCGCGGCCGGGGGCGGCCCCGGCGGGGCGGGACGGGACGGGACGGGGCGGCCCCGCCGGGCTCTGCAAAACAAGGCAGGGAGCATGTGCGGATCGGCCCCTCCGCACGGACCGGGGGTGACGAGCGCTCCCCGGGGAGGGGTTGGACCGTGGGGTGCGTGTCCAGTCCCAGCGGGGCTCCCCAGCTCATGCCGGTGCTGCGCCGGGGCATCACGGCGGGCTCGGGTGCCGGAGCACATGGGGTGACACCCTGTCTGCTGCCGGGTCGCTCAGTGCTCCCCAAGACTCACTGCAGCTCCCCAAACCCCTCTCTAGTGTTCATCCTTCCTCTCCAAATTTCCCCTCCAACTCTATCCTTGCCCCCAAAATTCCCTTTCAGCTCCTATCCTTGACTCTCAAAATCCCCTTCCAGCTCCCATCCTTGCCCCCCAAAATCCCCATCCTTAACTCCTAAACCATCCTCTAACTTCCATCCTTACCCCCCAAATTTCCCCTCCAGCTCCATCCTTATCCCCCAAAACTCAGCTATCTTTGCCCCTCAAAATCCCACTCCCGCTCCTATCCCTGCACCCCAAAATTCCCATCCTTGCCCCTCCCAAATCCCCATCCTCTCCTCTGAAACTCCCCTTGCAGCTCCAATCCTGACAGAATGCCCCTCTCCCGGGGTCACAGCCACTGGGGGATTCCTCACTGGGAGCTACAGCTCCTCCCGTTCCAGTGCCCGCAGGGGACAGCCGAGGGCCGCGCCACACATTGACCCAAATCCTTCCGTTCCCAAGGTTCATTCCCAGGGCTCAGAACAGGCCACAACTGGATCTGGGCTCCTGACACACACTGGTGATGTCTGGGACATCACTTCACTTAGTTCTAAGAAATCGAGAACTGGCTCGGGTTCAGCTTGTGCAACGACAGGGTGAGCAATCCTCCCTCTCCGCTGCGCTCATTAACCAGGCGAGCGCCAGTTTTCCACCAGTTCCTACTGGGACTGGGATCCGAAACCCAGTGATAAATTCCACCTGCACGGGCAGGAACGGCACAGGGACTCGCTCCATCGGCAGCACCCGCAGGGGTGAAAGTATGGAAACTGGGAATTAAAAATTTCCAGGGTGGTTATCACCATCAGCAGCGCCCCGAGATGATGTGAAAAGGAGGAGAAAGCAATCTGTGCCCCCCCCCCAAAAGGGTTAACACAGTTTTAGAAACTTCCCTTTTCATGATGGCTGTCACGTTTGCAGAGCACCAGAGCCCTGCAGCCCCGGCACGGGCCAGGGATCAGACAAAACAAGCATTAAAAACGTTACTCAGCATTTGGCCGCCGAAGTTTTGAGGACTTTTGTGTTGCTCCCAGCCACGCCGGGCAGGACCTGCTGCGCTGAACTCAGCTGATCGCAGACGTTTAAAATGAGCCGGGCTGAAGCCTGGCACTGCTTTAGCAGTTTCCAAGGCCGGGCTGGAATTGTCTCTCCCTCTCCAGGGGAAGGGGGTTGTGGTTTGTTTCATTTGCTGCCACGGGCGAACGTGAATCACAGCAAATGCTGCACAGGGAGAGGAAAAGGAGGAAGGGAGGAACATCACAGCCGGAGTTAACCGGTGACACGGCTCTGGTGTCCCCACAGTGACTTTAGAGGTGGGGAGGCTCTTGATGGGGCTGGAGCCTTGGCTGGGCCCCTCTCTTTGCCTGGCATCCTCCTCCTCCTCCTCCTCCTGTCGGCACACACCCCTCGGCCGTGACTCAGCCCTCGCCCACGGGATGCGGATCCCTGCAAAGCAAACCTCCCTCCCGTGGCAGCGCACGCGATGCCCTCGCCTGTCCCTCGCTGCCTCCACGTGGGGACCGCAGCACCCCCAGACCCCTCCGGGACCCCAGCGCACGGAGAGGATCTCTCCTCTCTCCTCTCTCCTCTCTCCCGGGATCTCCGGGTGGGAGCGCAGCCGAGGGTTTGGTTTTCCGTCCAGGAATGGTCCTGGTGCCCGAGGAAAAGCCAGGGCAGGCCGGGCACGGCGCGCAGGGCACGATCTCCAACTCTGCAGCCCCATCTAGAGTCTGGCCAGGCTGGAGCCGGTCCCCGCTGGAGCTGACACCCTGCCCGGCTCATGGGGGGCTGGAACGATGCTGGGACCTGGTGGGTGCTCCCCACCGGCCCCAGAGTCACACGAGGGGCCCTGGCACGCCACAGAGAAGGGAATGCAGCAGGTAAAGAAGGAAAGCATCAGCTCAATATGGGGATGAGATGTGACAACACAGAGCCTTGCACGAGCACACGCTCCCTGATTGAGGAACAGCTCCATCTCTGCTGGATTTGGGGCTGGATTTGTGCATGGACAAGGATTAAAGCACTGATTGAGGGTCACCCTGCAATGGAAGCACAGCCCTAATACTGTAACCCTCTTGGATGTTTCCATGAACATAAAATGGCTTCTGGATGTCTGCCTCTCACCGGGACAGGAACTACACCTTTGGGAAGTGCTGCAGGATCCTGGGACAGAAAACATCACAACATGCACAACAATGATTTATGTTTCCTAGGGCACCTTCCCATCAGCTCATGCAGGAGAGTCCAGGGCTCTCCTTGTGCTGCCTTTGCCCCTTCACCCCCATCTTTTCCTCTCTTCCTGCTCCCTCTCTCAGATGGTTACACAACACACGTTTAAAGGCCCTGCCTGAACATCCTTCTTGCACACTTTTTTTCTTGTCTCTCAGCGCAGCACCCCAGTGCCAGCACTCACCACCCTGCCAGGAAACTGCAGATAAACTCAGCTGAGGGGAGAGCAGAAGGGAGGGCGCTTATCTGTGCCCGGCTTCCCTCCTCTGCACTGCCTTGTTACCATGACAAAACCTGCATTTTTTAAACACCACGCAGACACAGCTGATCTCATGGAGAAGCAACAAGAAAGGAGCAGTCACAGGGACTGTCGGATGGCGGCACGTTTCTCACCAGCTGACACCAGGAAGGCCCTCACGCTGCTGTTGGGGACAGAGCAGGGGATAGAAGGATCCAAAAGAAGTTATTCTGGCTGCAGGACGGCCCCTCTTTGCTGTTAAAAACGCCCTGGTGATCACACGTGTGCCTCTCACAAGGCAGAAAAGGAGTCTATGCATGGATAAGACAATAAAAAATCCCAGCCCCCAAATTGTGGCGAGGCTTTGTGCCTCACAGGTAGCCCAGTGCAAGGAACCAGCAGCTCTGAGCCCCAGGTGTGCAGGGTGCCAGGGAGGCAGAGCAGCTCGGGCAATTCCTGCAGCCCTGAGCCAGGTGGCTCCAAGGACTGCATCGCCAGGAGCTCAGGACCTTTGCTGCTGAGTGCAGGGCGATGGTTTAATTGGGATTTGGACACTTTGCAGAGGTGCAGCTGCCAAGGAGCCATCCTTAAGCACAGCATGGAAGAGCCACTGCCAAAAGGCAGAAACTCCAGAGCAGTGCAGGTGTTTGGAGCAGATGGCAGAATGTCCAGAAATAGGGAAAATTACTCGCCCTGTGCAGTCCAGAGACAGGAACACCTCCAGGAAGGCAACTCAGGTCCTCTTTCCATCCCTCCAATTTATTCCTGCATTTGCCAGATTGGGCTGGCAGCACTCTCTGGGTTGCACTTGGCCACTGACACAATTAAATGCCCTCAGC